AAGCATGTGCCAAAGAAATGGGAAACATGACTTTCCCACCTGTACATCTCAAAAGGCTCAAGCATGTGCTCTGCCAGCAAGCTACGTGCCGTAATACAGGAACACATCAGGGTCACAAAATCAAGAAAAAACCCCACAGAATGATGATAGAGTACACAAATTGTTTTAATTTCACAGCAGCCCAACTCTATATTCACCAGGCAGAGACAGACGGGGGAATTCCTGGATCCTGGTTCATAGGTTATCTTGCTATTCGCTGTAAAATTAATAAATAGCTCTGAGGCCAGGAATCACAGCCCAGAACTATCCTCCTCCTAGGTAAATCATCAGAGAGAAGAGCCAGACCTTCTTGTCTGCTTTCTTCCTAGCCCTGAAACTCTTGCGCTCCTTGCTGCACGTTGGCTGAGAGCCTGGAGACAAAGGGTTGAGCCTGCTCAGGCTGAAGAAGATGAAGGCTCACCTCCTGGGCACCATGCTTTAACAGGTAGGCTGAAGTAAGCTGGATCCTTCAGAGGGAAAAAACACCCAGGCTGGTATTAAAATGAAGGGTTCCAGCCCTCACATAGGTGTCCAAAGGTGACCCCTGTGTTTTGCTCCGAATGAAGTATCTATATCCAAGGAATGTCCCGTCTAACTTGAGCCTCTGATGTGCAGAGCAGAGTTGTTGGGGGCTCCCTCTTACGACCAACGGAGGGAGACAGGCACCTTCCAAGGGTGACTTGAACCACCTGGGGTCTGCCCCATGCCCTGCAAGCGTTCCTCTTTCTTCCTGGCCTGTATCCAAGCTGGGTACGACACGGATCCCCATCCCTGGCATCAGGCCTGCAGGGACTGAGCATTCAGACCCAAGTCCAGACACACACGGTGCTCAGCAGCCCTCCCGGCATGGCTCTCGCCACGCCTCACACCCAGGGCTGTTGAGAACCTCTTTCTATCCCCACCCTGCACGACTGCACCCATGACACCCAGTTTCAGGTTTGGAATTCTACGTCAGCGAGCAAAAGGTCTTCGGCGTTGATAGCTCAGTGCCCAAACCAGAGTTCCCAGTCTGAAAGTGGGGGCACTCTGCAGTGTTTAGTGAGAGTCAGGCTGAGTCTGGAGGCGGGTCTAGCTGCGGATCAGGTCACCAACTCGTTAAAAAAACAAACCACTGGATTTTTGCACGTGTACAGGCACACTAATACTCAAAGGAACAAAGGACAGACGCTGGGAGTTGGTGAACTACTAAAAATTTCGAGAACTAAACTAACAACTCAACTCCATACTTCTAATACGATGTCTGAAAAAAAAGGTCTGGAGTTTACATACCTGTTCCTTTTTTGGTTGCCCCAGACAAATGTAGGATGATTAGACTTGCTACAACTGAAAAGAGAAATATGCATTAGTTATCGCGGTGTGACAGTGCCTGCAATCAAATCAATTGTAAACATCTATCCTAGAAGAATACAAATTAAACAGCGTTACTGTAAAAGAAAAAAGGGTTCATGTTTACTTGCATTGTTAAATTGCACACTTTGTATAAACAAGTCTCTTCATGATCTGTCCTTGAGTGTTTATCTTTGTACATGTTTCCAAACAGAGATGAGGTCTTTTGGGTTTACAACAAAATCCCCAGGCACTGATGTTTCCCTCCTATTTTTTTTCCTTTTTTAGAGAAAATGATTTTACTCATATTTATCTATATAATCATAGCTTGGGCCAGCAACGGAGAAGTGGCTGCTTTTAACAGAGGCAGACGGAGGCCTGCTAAGTTTCAGTGCCACCGGACTCACTAACGTCTCCCGCTGCAGCCTAATAAAATTTGAAACTGAGTATTGGGAGGATGAAGTGAGGGGTTGGGTTCTTCGCGTCCGTCAAAGCATTTGCAAATCCCGAGTGAAGTAAATTATTGTGTGTGCTTAACGGTCTCATTAATCTAGTTTGTTTGACTGGCCCAGAGGGTGTTGCTTTGTGCTGCAGTGAACCTGCAGGCTGTTTTAGAAATAGAAATCTCCTGTCTCCAACCATGACAGGACCGCTGAGCCCCCTGGGAACGAACCTGAGGTGGACTCCAACCTGGAGGTGGTGCCTGAGTTTCTGGGAGTTTCCCCAGTATAACATTTTGACTAGAGAAGGCTAAGAGGCAAAGACTTTGGCCAGCCATAATGAGGCTGCTTTGGAAGGTCCAAGTGACTAGCCAGCCACCTGGTGAGGAAATCGTGCGCTGATGACAGCATTTTCTTGTCATCACCCGTATCTTCTCCGGCTGTTGGAGAAAGTGGCAGAGCAAGAGGATAAGAGAACAGATCCATCAGTTCTCAGAGTGCTCGGGGGTTTGACCCCGGCTGGTCTGGCGTTACGCCCGGACATAGTGCCCAGAGTGCACTGGAGTTAAAGCGGAGGCGAAGCTGTGTGCTTATTCTGAGTGTTCTGGACCCATCCGCTGCCATTTGTAGCGTTGATGACGACGAGGAGTCGATGGACCTGTGGTCTTTAACAAATGTCATTGAACGGTGTACTTTCTTCCTCTTCTTATCGCCCAAGAGGCACCAAAAGTCAGCGTGGGCTTGTAACTAGCTACCTAAACGATCCTTTCTAAGATGGTGCTTTCACCATTTTCAGCCTTTATACTGCAAGCTGTGTGCCATTTTTACCCCGAAGGAAGCCAGTCTCCCTATTTCCAGCATTCTGATGCCATCGAGTTCTCTGTTTCTATGCCTTTGACCCTCCCCGTGTGACAGAGGGAATGAGGCATGGATGATGGCTACCTTATTAAGCAGGGAAATGCTGAAGTTTGAGAAAATGAAGGCTTGGCAGCACATTCACCATCCCTTGGTCAGGCTCACAGCCCCTGTGTCTTTCTGAATCCCTCAGCTAACGGAGACGGATGTTGGCAGAGCTGGTAGTTAAAAACTCTTCTGTGTCAGGGGCATTCAGTGAGAACGTGACATCTTCTGCTCGGCTCCGAGTGCTACCCGAGCGTTCATGCCCTTGCTCTCCTCGGGGGTGGAAAGAGGCGCCGGCTGGGGCTCTGCCCGCCGGCTGTGTCAGTCTGAAGGCACGGCAGGATTCGCCCGTCTGCGGAGCCGCTCGCTCACTCTGGCTGTGTGTCATGCGGGGAACGTGCTGCCTCTGCGCCTCTGGTCCTCCCCAGGCACAGCCCAATTTCTCAACAGCCTCAGGTGGAGTGGCGGCGGGATCCGGAGCCAGCTGCCGGCGTTCTGCCCACCCACTGGTTTGTGGGAGCTGGAACAGCGGCCAAACGAACCCCGCGTGAGAAATGTGTCTTCTTAGGCTCTTAATGGCAATTCATATCTGGTTCTTACACTTCATTTGAAGCACCTTTCTCTATCACTTCCCTCTTCCTCCTCTATAGTGAAAAAACTGAAGTTCGGAGAAATGAGGGGAGTTGGTCCAAGTCACAGAGATATTATTACCAAGATGACAGAAAAACACGGGTCTTTTCAATTCCAGCTGTAACCGCTGGAAGAAAGGATGCTTCCAAGTCACCGAGCTAAGTAAAGCTCCCAAAGCAGGGAGCTATATTTATGTATCATCACGTCAGTATTGATTATCAATAGGGAGTCCAAATAATCTCGATAATGAAATGTAATAGGCAAGAAGAGACTAAGTTTTTGCTGGCCATATCGTACCTAACATTTGGATAGATGAAGTGAAACACTTCACCCACATTTCAAAAAAAAAGAGAAAGCCTCTTGATTTAGCGGCATTAACGTCAGCATCGCCCAAATCTGTGTATTGCCAGAAAGTAGTTAAAATTACGGGCTTCATGGGAAAAGAGAACACAGTATATTTTACTTAAGCAGTCAAGGCAGACCATTTTATTCTCTGACCCATTGCCTTTTTCTCTCTCAAGCCACGGGAAAAGAACAATGCTTCTCACAGAGAAGAAGGGAAGAAAAAAAAAAGACCCCAAAGAGACCAGCCATGCAATCTTCGCTCACTGAGAACTGTCACTTGGGAAGCTTTGACAGTACGGCGTCAATATTGTGATTAGCCGCGTTTGGGAATGGTTTTAAAGAAGTTTCCGCCAAATTTCTTGTATTCCCTCCGTCTTCCTCCTCCCCTTTTCCCTCCTAATCAGGGCTGTAATTATAATCACGCTTTCTAGTGCCTCTCTGATTAAGCATCTCTGCATCTTTGGGGATCCGCGCAGTTTCCCGCTTGGAGCTGCCCATCGGGAGGTTCCTTTCCCGGCCCCCCACCTCGGTGGGGGCTCAGCCTGGCCAGGACTTGCCGGACAAGCCGCCCCT